TTTTAGAAGCAATTTTAATTGGAAACACAGCCGTCAATATTTGGTTTTTAATTCGGTTTTATTGGGGTTTATATTGTTGTATTTTTGTATTTTTATTTGTGTATAGTATCTGTTTTTTAAATATGCTGTGAACCGCCCTGAGTCCTATGGGAGAAGGGCGGTATACAAATTAAATTTGAATGAATGAATGAATGAATGAAGTAAGTCTCATTCAGGCTGCCTGGCCTACATCTTGCCCCGGGTGCCTTCTTCGATCCATGCAGTACCTTCTGAACATCTCCACACATTCTCCCTGATCCTTCCTGCTCCCCACATCCCTTTCCTGCCCCACATGGAACTTCCTGTGTACTCTACATACCGTTCTTGACCACATCACCCCTTGTGGACCATCCAAAACCTGCATGGCACCTTTCATGCAGGCCCAAACACTCCCAGGCACCCTTCCCAACCCACATTGCCCCCTATACACCCTCTCGCACTTATTTGTGATGGTCATGTACCTTTATCAAGCTGCACCACACCCCCTCTCACTTCCCTGGCCCATGTGGCACCTCTTACATACCCCCAAGACCCCCTCACAGATCCTTATTGACCCATATTACCCCCCAATGTGTCCTGACTTATGTAGAATCTCTATCACACTGAAATACATTCCTCCCACACAAGCTTTCTACAATCCATGTGACATCTTTGATGTACCCTTCTCACCCTGCATCCCTTTGGTCTCTCCCATACTCAATATTTAGTAATGCAATAGAAATTTCACTACCATCACCACCACCCTCTGGTTTCTGAGACTGGGTTCTGACCTTAAAGATAGGAATCCAAAACTGATTCCAACCCTAACTTTCTCTAGCTGTTTTTCAGTCTGGGAAATCCTAAACTTAGAAAAAACCCCACCCCATTGGTATACCCACCAATCCCCTGTATTGTTCCCAATCCATTACTCTGAGTGGGAAAGACTGTTTTTTTTAATAAAAATAAAAGAAGAAAATCAAGGGGGAGCTAACATTGCGTTTCCTACTTCTGTGCTACTGAAACTGTCTAGGCTCTAGAGACATGCTAGACTTCTTCAAAGTCTCCATCTGTGTGCTCTAATCATGTGCTAGGTTTAAATTCAAACACAAGAAAAGATGAGGAGGATGGCAAGAAAAAGGTAGCCCCATGCAGAGATAAAGTATGTTTTATGTTTGTTTGTTTTATGTTTTATTAAATTTATACCCCGCCCTTCTCCCGGAGGACTCAGGGTGGCTTACAGCCAACTTAAAAACAATAATACAATATAATTCAAAATTTAAAAGTAATTAAAAATAGATATTCAATAGGCCGCTTATACTAAAAAAATTTTAAAAGCCAATTTAAAATACCCCTAGGCCAGTCCTGCCCGCTGAAATAACCAAGTCTTAAGGGCGCGGCGAAAGGAGNTCCAGAGGGTGGGTGCTCCCACAGAGAAGGCTCTCCCCCTGGGGGTCGCCAGCCGACACTGTCTGGTTGACGGCACCCTGAGGAGGGCCTCTCTGTGGGAGCGTATCGGCCGGTGGGAGGCAATCTGTGGCAGAAGGCGGTCTCGGAGGTAGCCAGGTCCGATGCCATGGTGCGCTTTAAAGATGGTGATCAACACCTTCAAGCGCACTCGGAAGGCCACAGGCAGCCAGTGCAGCTCGCGCAGCAGCGGCGTTACATGGGAGCGACGAGTCGCTCCCATCACCGCCCGCGCGGCCGCACTCTGGACTAACTGGAGCCTCCGAGTGCTCCTCAAGGGAAGCCCCTTGTCTACCTTATTAATTCTGAAGCATATCAAATAGAAGTCAAAACACTTGTCCCGTGATGAGAAGAATGGATTCTTAGTCCTTTTGATCAGCAGGCTGGTTCACTTGACTAACATAGATATTCCTTGTGCAAAACATTACCCAAAACCAATTTAGGTGCTGCCACTGAGATAGCATCCTGTCCCATGT